TGGTGGGGACAGGTACCCCATGCCCACACTCTCGTCTTCCAGAGGGGTCTGCGCGGAAGGAGGATCATGGATCCCCCGGGCCCATCAGTTTTTTTGGGGGCGGGGTGGGGGGGAGGGGGGACACCTTGGGACGCGCTTCCGGGACAAAAGCCCTCGCAGCCGCACCGTGGGCGCATCACCTCCTTTATTGCCTGGCGGGGAACAGCGGGTGGAGTCGGCAGGGCACGGCGAGGAGCTGGGGCGCGCGGGGGCACCCGCTGGCTCACACCCACAGCCAGCACCTTGCACCGCCCTCCTGCCGGGGTCTGCGCAGGTCGCAGGGGGCGCCCCAAGCTGTGGGGGGCGGTCAACAAAGGAGTGAGCTGGTTACACGTATCTGCGAGCGGGCAGCGGGGTTCCCAGGAATATGGGGGACTCTGTCTGCAAGGAGGAAGCCGGAGGAGCCAGGTTGCAGAGCAGGGGAGGCACGCCCACACAGCGACCCCGCCCACGCGCACCGAAGCCACGCCCACACCCCCGACACCCACGCCCATGCGCACCCCGTGACCACGCCCACACCACACCACAGCCGCGCGCCACGACCAAGGCCAAGGACACGGCCACGTGCGCAGCCAGCAGAGCCCCGCAGGGCGTGAGCGCAGGTCCCCGTCCGATCAGCCCTCCAGCCACGCCTCCGGGAGCCCCCGCCCCGCGTGGCCCTTCTCTTGCTGAGTCGGTCGGTGTTTAGCAGGCTCCGTGATGGCGTGCGGCGTCCGTCCTGTCGCGGTGGACACGTGCGCCTCTGTCCCCTGGAAAGTCGCGCCTGCGACCTCACTGGGTCTGGGGCGTGGGCGCGGGGCTGGGCCCCGGCCTTCCTGCTGGGCTCCGGCCTGGCTGCCTCCGTCCCGGCCTTGGACGTCGCCGTGGCGCTGGGGGCCGGCCAGGTGCCTGCAGCCCCCGCGGGCTCCGCGGGCTCCCCCTCCTTGTCCTCCGCGGAGAAGCTTTCTCGGGCATCGAAAAACATGAGCGCCTCTGCCTGGGGCGTGGCCTCCGCAGGGCCCGGCTCATCCCCAGCGCTCTCGCTCTTCCTGCTGGGGGCCGAGGAGAACCCTAATCTGGGGAATCGGAACCAGCCCGCCTTCTCCGGCTTCTTGGGCAGCTCGGCCGCCGGGCGGGCCTCGGGCTGCGTTTGGACCGGAGCCGGTGTTGGTTCCTCTTCTGTGGCTGCGGTGCCGGTGTCCTCGGCGGCCGCGGAGGAGAACCCGATGCTCGGAAGCCAAAACCGGAACCGCCCGGAGGACCGTTTGCTTTCCGGCTTCTCCCTGGCAGCCCCGTCTCCCTCTCGGCCTTCTTCAGGGGGGAATTCGAGGATTTCCGCGGGCTCCTCGTCGTCGGAACCGCCGTCTGCAGGCTGGAGGCCCGAGCTCCCTTCCGACGTGGCCGTCTGCGGTCCCTCGTCGGTGCCAGAAGGGATGATTTCAAACGTCTCTGTGTCGGGCTGCAGGGCTCCAGGCCCCCGGTCAGCTCCCAGGGCCGCACGGTCACCTTGGGAAGCGGCTTGGCCGCCCTGAGTGACCACCTGCACCTGGGCCCGCAAGGGGCTCTCGGGGACCTTCCCCTTGAGCAAGGAGAACCCGTAAGAAGGCGTCTGGACCTCGGAGGCCGGGATCTCCGACTCCCGGACGATCTGAGTGGAGCCAGCCTGGGGTCCCGGCCAGTCAGCAGGCTCTGCCAGGACCCTGCTGTGTATGGTGACCTCCCGGCTCTCCACCCGGGCACCTTGAATGTGGACTCTGACCTTGGAAATGGGGCCGGCCTCCGCGGGGAGGTCCAGGACCACCGGCTGCTGCCCGGGGCCCACAGCGCCGGCCTGCAGGAGGCTCACGCCCCACACCCCAGGGTGCTCCTTGCTCAGGGCCAGATCCAGGCTGCTGTCCGGGCACCACACCTCTCGCACGGCCGGGGGGATGAAGATGTCGGCCTCGCCGCTGGGGGCCGGGAAGGTGAACCTGGGCACCTTTAACTTGGGGAACTTGACAGTGAGCACAGAATCCTCCCAGACCCGACCCACGATGGAAATTTGGGCTGGCACGTCTGTCCTCGAAGCCTTCAGTCTGAGAGGGCCTTCCGGCGGGGGAGACGGGTGCTCAGTGCTCCCTGCCCCTCTGGCAGGAGCTTGGGTTTCTGAAAGTCTCCCTCCAGGCATCTGAAGGGGAAAGGGGGCCTTCGCCTGGACCCACCCGGGGCCTGAGAAGTGGGAGGCTCATCGGGGGACACGCTGCCAGGAGGCAGGTGCGGCTCCGAGCCTGGGGGCTGGGCTGTGCAGACCTCCCCCGAGAGCTTCCCGTGGCATCCGCCTCTGCCTCTGCCTCTGGGGACGATGGGGCCACGGCTGCCTCCCCTGGACTCTTGGCTGCAGCGGGGGCCTCCCCTTCCCTCGGTGCCCCCGCCGCCCCCTGCTCCTTCGAGGAGCGCCAGAAGCTGGGCAGGCGGAGCGAGGGCATCCTGAACCAGCTGTCCTGCGAGCTGGCCCGCTCGGCTCCGGCTGCCACGTCCCCCGCGGGCACCCCCCCTGCAGCCACGGCGGATGTCCCAGCACTGCCCGCGGGCTCCTCTGTGCCCCTGGACGTGGAGACGCCTGCAGGTGGCAGCGGAGTGGCCGACCCCAGGAACACTGTGGCTTCCTCAGAGTCCAGGACCTGTGTGGGGCTGCGAGGGGAGGGGGCACCCTCCAGGGCGCGGGGCTCTCCCTCGGCCTCGGCTGCCGCTGCGACCGAAAACCGGAACTTCGGTCGATGGAATTTAGGAAAAGTCACGCGGCCATACGACGTGTGGACCAGGGGGTGCGCCGGGCCAGGGTGGCTGTCAGTTTGGGACGAAGGAACGGGCTCCCAGGACGGGAGGTCGGCAGCACGAGGGGAGCTGAACTGGGGTGCACCCCCCTTGGACTCAGAGAGGGTTTCCCGAGGCGCCTCTGCAGAGACGCTGGCTCTGGGGAGAGGCACCTGGCACTTCGTAAGCGTGGCGTCCTCCCAACCCACGTCGCCCATGGAAACAGAATGATCAGCTGAGTCAACAGCTATACGCACTTTGTCAGAAGAAGAGGTCACTTCTGCAACGGTGGCACCTCCGTGGGCGTGTGCAGACACCGAGTAAGTCTTACTGGATGATGGTCGGAAAAACGGCATGCTGACCTTGGGCATCTTGAACTTGCTCTCTCGGGCAGCCACCTCCTTGTCCTCCAGGCCAATGGCACCCACCACCTTGGCCTGTGGCTCCTGGATAGCCACCTCCACACGGGACGGTGACACCAATGTGTCAGGAGGGGTCACCTCCCCTTTGGCGCATTTAAGGTCCAGTTTTGGCCCCTTGATGTCCACCTTGGGCACCTTGATGCTGGGCATCTGCATCTTGGGCAGGTGGCCTTTGATCCTGGCCCCTTCTACTTTGCCTTTCAGCCCCCCCAGCGTCACCTCTCCTTCCTGCAGGGGCACCTCCACCTCTCCCCCAGGGAGCTCAAGATCAGCAGATGGCAGGTGGATGCTACCTTCTGGGACTTGAATCTCACCTACCATGGATGGCAGAATGGCCGTCCCTGTGGTGTCAGACATGGACACGTCCACTGATGTTCCCCAATCCTTGCTTGGTGAAGATGCACCAAAGGAAGGCATCTTGAACTTGGGCATCTTGAACCTGCTGTCTTTGGTAGCCACTGCCTTATCTCCCAGAACAATGTCTCCCTCCAGCTTGGAGCCAGCTGCCTGGATTTCAGCCTCCACAATGGGCACGGACACCTCCAAGTCAGGGGCAGTCACCTCCCCTTTGGCGCCCTTCAGGTCGAGCTTGGGCCCCTGGATATCCACCTGGGGGCCCTTGAACTCTACTTTGGGCATCTTCATGCTGGGCATGTGCACCTTGGGCATATGCCATTTGCTTCCAACTGCAGAGGCCGACCCATGGAACTCTCCCTCGGGCAGGTGGCCCTCCGGGAGCTTCACTCCCAGCTCTCCTGTCTTCACGTCCACGTCGGCAGATGGCAGGTCAATGCTGAGGTCACTGGCCTTGACGTCAGTCTGGATGGAGGGCAGGGACACGTCTGCCTCAGCCTTTGGCAGCGACACGTCCACTGAGGCCTCCAAGGACTTGCCTGGCCCAGACATCCCGAAGGAAGGCATCTTGAACTTGGGCATCTTGAACTTGCTGTCTTTGCTGGCCACCTCTGTGTCCCCAAGGACGATGTCTCCCTCCAGCTTGGCGCCTGGAGCCTGAATGTCCACCTCCACACTGGGCAGCGAAACCTCCATGTCGGGGACGGCCACCTCGCCTTTGGCGCCCTTCAGGTCCAGTTTGGGCCCCTTGATGTCCACCTGGGGGCCCTTGACGTCTACTTTGGGCATCTTCATGCTGGGCATCTGCACCTTGGGCATGTGGCCCCTTGAACGTGGCCCCTTCTGCTTTGCCCTTCAGTTCTGCAAGCTTCACTTCTCCCTCGGGGACCGTCACCTTCCCTTTGGCGCCCTTCAGGTCCACTTTGGGCCCCTTGATGTCCACCTGGGGGCCCTTGAAGTCTACTTTGGGCATCTTCATGCTGGGCATGTGCACCTTGGGCAGGTGCCCTTTGAGTCCAACTCCGGAGGAGGCTTCCTGGAGCTCTCCCTCGGGCAGGTGGCCCTCCGGGAGCTTCACTCCCAGCTCTCCTGTCTTCACGTCCACGTCGGCAGATGGCAGGTCAATGCTGAGGTCACTGGTCTTGATGTCAGTCTGGACGGAGGGCAGGGACACGTCCACTGAGGCCTCCATGGACTTTCCTGGCCCAGACGTCCCGAAGGAAGGCATCTTGAACTTGGGCATCTTGAACTTGCTGTCGTGGGCTGCCACCTCCTTGGAACCCAAGACAATGTCGCCCTCTAGCTTGGCGCCCGGAGCCTGGATGTCCATCTCCACACTGGGCAGCGACACTTCCATGTCAGGGGCCGACACCTCCCCTTTGGCGCCCTTCAGGTCCACTTTGGGCCCCTTGATGTCCACCTGGGGGCCCTTGAAGTCTACTTTGGGCATCTTCATGCTGGGCATGTGCACCTTGGGCAGGTGCCCTTTGAACCCCATTCCGGACGAGGGTCCCTCCAGCTCTCCCTCAGGCAGGTGGCCCTCCGGGATCTTCACTTCCAGCTCGCCTGTCTTGATGTCCACGTCGGCAGAAGGCAGCTCGATACTGAGGTCACTGGTCTTGACGTCAGTCTGGATGGAGGGCAGGGACACGTCTGCCTCAGCCTTTGGCAGCGACACGTCCACTGAGGCCTCCAAGGACTTGCCTGGCCCAGACATCCCGAAGGAAGGCATCTTGAACTTGGGCATCTTGAACTTGCTGTCTTTGCTGGCCACCTCTGTGTCCCCCAGAACGATGTCTCCCTCCAGCTTGGCGCCCGGAGCCTGAATGTCCACCTCCACACTGGGCAGCGAAACCTCCATGTCGGGGACGGCCACCTCGCCTTTGGCGCCCTTCAGGTCCAGTTTGGGCCCCTTGATGTCCACCTGGGGGCCCTTGACGTCTACTTTGGGCATCTTCATGCTGGGCATCTGCACCTTGGGCATGTGGCCCTTGAACGTGGCCCCTTCTGCTTTGCCCTTCAGTTCTCCAAGCTTCACTTCTCCCTCGGGGACGGTCACCTCCCCTTTGGCGCCCTTCAGGTCCACTTTGGGCCCCTTGATGTCCACCTGGGGGCCCTTGAAGTCTACTTTGGGCATCTTCATGCTGGGCATGTGCACCTTGGGCAGGTGCCCTTTGAACCCCATTCCGGACGAGGGTCCCTCCAGCTCTCCCTCAGGCAGGTGGCCCTCCGGGAGCTTCACTTCCAGCTCGCCTGTCTTGATGTCCACGTCGGCAGAAGGCAGCTCGATACTGAGGTCACTGGCCTTGACGTCAGTCTGGATGGAGGGCAGGGACACGTCTGCCTCAGCCTTTGGCAGCGACACGTCCACTGAGGCCTCCAAGGACTTGCCTGGCCCAGACATCCCGAAGGAAGGCATCTTGAACTTGGGCATCTTGAACTTGCTGTCTTTGCTGGCCACCTCTGTGTCCCCAAGGACGATGTCTCCCTCCAGCTTGGCGCCCGGAGCCTGAATGTCCACCTCCACACTGGGCAGCGACACTTCCATGTCAGGGGCCGACACCTCTCCTTTGGCGCCCTTCAGGTCCACTTTGGGCCCCTTGATGTCCACCTGGGGGCCCTTGAAGTCTACTTTGGGCATCTTCATGCTGGGCATGTGCACCTTGGGCAGGTGCCCTTTGAGTCCAACTCCGGAGGAGGCTTCCTGGAGCTCTCCCTCGGGCAGGTGGCCCTCCGGGAGCTTCACTCCCAGCTCTCCTGTCTTCACGTCCACGTCGGCAGATGGCAGGTCAATGCTGAGGTCACTGGTCTTGATGT